TTTTTTCTTATTGAGGTTAAACACTCTTAATAGCATTTCTCTTATGTAAAATCACCTTTACGGTAGATTACTTGAGAACAGAAAAGGGGGGATTCCGTCTCGCAGTTCACTCGGGACAACCACAGGGGGCTTTCCCGTCACATGGTCAAAATTGACCAATTAGGGCTAAGGAAATAGATGTGCGATTTAGATGCGCAGTGGATCATTATTGACATCAAAATGCCGTCGGAGGCTCCAGTTTTACCCACACAACCAGAAAAACCTCACCATTATACGTAAGTAGCATAACATGCAACTCGATTTACTTTTTTTACGTCTTCAATAAAAAAAGATCTTCGTATTGTCTTGTTGTACTGATTTTATGCGTTGATTTTCAGATATTTGAAGGAGTTTAGAACACAACAATGTCCCCTCTTCCTGCAACATAAGTGCACGCAACATCGGCCGTTCACATGTTTTCATTGGCACTTTATGAATCAAAGGCGCAGGAGACCGATCCGGAAGAGAGACGGAACGTTCAGTTATAGCCCAGATATATATTGTACAAAATTTGATGAAACTACAGGCATTTGTCAAGATGGCGATGAGTAAGTACTTGCTGATGTTTGAATTTTGGTGGGAAAAGTGGCTAAAATCAAAGCATGCTTAAACCTGCAACTTGCAGAAGCAGAAACTTCTTCAATAGAGAATATTTTATCAACACGTCATATAGAAGGGGTAAACGCACACAGGTATTATATCTAAAATGTTGTCTTGAAAGGAATGTTTAATTTGAGTGTTCTCGTACCTGACAGAAGTCAAGTATATAAACAATCATGGCGGCCATTTCTTGTTTACATCCAGTCTTATGGACATCATGGGGGGATAACAACTTAGCATCTTAAAGACAGTGGTTAGATCAAAGCACATTCAATCAAAGGGTGATATAAAATATGCCTAGTATTTTCGTTTAATTTGCAATGTGTTTATTTGTGGATTCCTAAATCGAAAGAACTAAAAGTGATACCCTTGACCTATTTATAGATTTCAAGTATGGCAGTATTTGCCAAATACAATAAAAGAGAAACAAAAAAAAATTAAAAAAGAAAAGAAACAATTAACGGGGAAAAAACAAAATTTTGTGATTGTTTTTGGATCAATTTGATATTGACAGTAAATAACAGACATTAAATTTGACTAAAATTACTTTTATAAATCATTTTCAAAGCTTATAATATGATGTCCAAAATATTTTTATGTTCGATGGTTCAGTAAAGACATATATAAAATGTGATTAAAGTATCTATAAAAAGAATTCATTAGTAAGTAACAGTTCATCATAAATATAAAAGTAATTAAGGTTGAGCATAAGCTTGGGTTTTAACAAATCCTGCAGTGTTCTGTCCCCATGCTCATACCAAATGATTTTATCAAACATCAAGTTTATTTCTAAGGATGCGTTCACAATAAATCTTTACTCTTGGTATTGAGTAAAATATGGGAAAGCTCCTGATTATTTGAGTACATTGAAAACAATAGGCAGTAATGCAGAATGTTAGTCTTTTCTTTCTAGTTGTTTCTCCATTGCCCTATCTCAGGAAGAGACTAGCCTGGATATCTGGAAATCTGATTTATCGCGACAACTCAACTTCCAAACATTGATATTTTAGAGGCTTATACTACTTAATGATGTTTCTATTGATACTCTTCCTTATCTCCCTTCTGTCTATCTGTCCTGTCTTATATTAGATAATTTTACCTTTCATAATATCAACAAAGATACCTGACTACACATTCAGTAAAGTAAACGACACTTTAAGACATAATGAACTTCATAATTTTCATGTTTTGTTTCACAATTTAATCACTATATATCATTGTAGGTATGCAGTTTTTGTTACCTTGTGCAATTTCTATTTTAAGAAGTTTATAGCAGTATATATATAAAAACAGTATTCCGCTTATCACAATTATGAAAATTTCATCTCATAATACACTAGCTATGATGTTGAATATTGTTATTGAGGCAAGTTGACTAAATGTAAAGATGGCTGTCACAACATATGTTTTCATTGCATTATTTATGTAAAATATTAAGTTTGTTATCTTACTGCTAAATGTAATGCAATGGCAAGAGGTATAGTTATTATCAAAACACAAATGCTATATATTATGACATGTTTTTAGTGAAAATACAAAATAGACACTTCTTTATGGTCCCACAATTATGAGCTCATCCTGTGGGATAGTTGTGATTGCTTTTATTTCTGAAAGAATCCTGGTATTATCAGTTGAAATTTATCAATTTCATATCATATATTTTGCATGCTTTTTTTCTTCAAACATATCTATTAGTTTCATTTGTAAGAATTATGGGGTTGAACTCAAACTCTGATAAAATGACTTTTAAACAAAGATTTATATATATTAGAAAAAAAAATAAGTTGACTATTTAAAGTATTTTATGAATATAGTTATTTGAGAAAATGTTTTCTTTTACTACCATTTGATCTGCTGTCCACAGATATTACATGTGGGTAATCTGTATGAGGTACAGAATATAGTTTATCTGAGGTGATTCACCATGGCACAAAAAGTTTGACAACCTATTGCAGTTTTAGTTTACTTTTTTATTTTTTATGATGTCAGTTTGGGATCATTGTAACTTTGTATGGCTATTTTATTGGATACCACATGACTTAGTTTACATTTTGAATGTTAACATTAAGTTAGCCTCAGTTATGAAATTTTACAGTTCACAAAAGAATTATGAAATTTAGATTCTCAGTATAAATATTTGATTTGTTATGTTATAGGTCTGCATTGAAATGAAAGTGATTCATTAGTATTTTAATTATAGCCCTTTTATTCCCTTCTTTCTTAAGCATATTTAAAATTATCCTTGGCTGCCCTCCTTTTACATTATTATAGGCATGCAGAAATGGGTCCTTTTTCTTACTCTCTGGATTAAGTTAAATTATTTTGGTATATATATATATATATATATTTTTTTTTTTACAGCTGCCCATTTTTACACAGAACTGCAGGTGATACAGAGAGACGATATCATTTACGTTACTACAAAACAGGAACTTGTGTGTATGAAACGGATGCCAAAGGCTGTTGTGTTAAGAACGGGCCACACTGTGCATTTGCACATGGTGCACAGGACTTGCGTGCCCCAGTCTATGATATCAGAGAGTTGCAGAATCTAGACCAGCCGCCACCTGTAGGACCAGAAAAACCAACCAATGGAAGTCTGGGATCTTCTGGGAGTTTAGAGAAGGACAAGATACTAACAGAAGACCCCAGATGGAATGGTAAGTGGCCTGGTTTTGATGCCATTACTATGGGATGATATTTAGAAAAGGTAATATCATTGGTTTTGAAAACTTCTTTTTTGTTTCTTTTTCATTTTGGCATGTTTTCCTATTGTCATTGATATATTAATGAATAAATGGGGTTAAAATTAATTATAAGTTCAACAGTTAACATCTGGGTCCAGTTTTATGTGCATCATAATCAGTGTATGCATATTGTATTTTTTAGAACTTATTAACTCTGCATTAACAGGTAATTTACCATCCATTTTGGTCTTATTTAGCTATATCCCTTTTATAGTACATATAAGCTTTGCACAGTGTATTACCGGTTTATTAGATGGACTGCTAATAAATGATTACTTACTTAACACATGGAAAGCAAACCAACCCATGTATGTTAGCACAAAATTAATTCAGCTTAAAAGAGTGACAACTTGTCATTTTGGTGAGAAAAGTGCCTAAGAGCAGATTTTCCTGGGGTAAACCACAATTTTTTCATGCTTTCCAAAGGCTAATGAATCCATTTCAACATTTTAATTAAGTTGAATGTTTTTTTTTTCTTTTCTTTTCTTTTTCCTAAAATGTGGTTTTTGCAATCATCTCTAAAGATAAATTATTGTGATAACTGCCATTTTGGTAATAAAAAGGAATTGATTATATTTCTTTATGTTGTTCACAATGTATTTATTTATTGTGGAATTTTGAATCTCATGTAAAGAGTTGTTATCCCTTTAACGGTTGAATGTTGAAAAGGTATTATACACCTATAGATGAAAAATTTTCAAAAATCCAGATATTTTTGTGTTGCACTTAGTCCCTTACCCCGAGCCCTTACCCTTTTTCCTCCCTCATTTAGAGCTGTGTCTCTTTGGTACTTGAATTTTGTTTTTATGTCCACTAATCTCTGTATGCCTCTGTGTTGTTTTTAAATGTCAGCTTAGTCACATTGTTTTTCTTTGCAGACACAAATTTTGTTTTAGCAAATTATAAAACAGAGCAGTGCAAGCGGCCACCACGGTTATGTAGACAAGGCTATGCATGTCCCCAGTTCCACAACACACGTGACCGGAGACGTAGCCCCAAGGTGTTCAAATACAGGTCCACACCTTGTCCTAATGTGAAACATGGGGATGACTGGGGTGACCCCTCTGTCTGTGAGGCAGGAGACAACTGCCCCTACTGTCATACTAGGACAGAACAGCAGTTTCACCCAGAGGTAAGAGAATTACATTAGATGAATTTAAACTAATTCATTAGATTTCAGGACTCTAAGGACACTTTGACTTGATTAGTTACAAGGTAAAATGCAGATTTAGAATCTTAAAAAGTAAGTTCCAAATCTTTATAATCAGATGTGTGTGTGTGTGTGTGTGTGTGTCGTGTGTAGTTGGTTATCATGATGTTAGTTGTTGTATATATACTCAACATTCTAAGTTCCATCATGATTATGCATATAAACAATGATTGATGATATTTTATGACACTTAAATTGACATTGCACTACCTTTCCTTTCCCCAGATCTACAAGTCTACCAAATGCAATGACATGGTGCAAACTGGATACTGTCCTCGTGGATCTTTTTGTGCTTTTGCTCATGTGGAACGTAAGTTGCTTTAATGAAGACAGAAGACTGAAGTGGATTTGAAACCAACACAGTTAATGTTTATCATGCGTCAAGATGCCTTATAAGTGCATTAAAATTAAACACTTTTAGGGCAAAAAATTCCTCTTTTCATTGTTTTATTCACAACATCATGCGCTTGTCCTTTAAAGCTCCACCCACATTTATCAACAATTTGACTGCTTCAGGAAATTATTGTGATAATGTAGCTTAAAGTATCTACCTTTTACCATTTTCATTAAATGTAGTTACTTGGGCATGGGTGTTAACTGTAATAATGTACTATTTATTTATTTATTTATTTATTTATTTATTTATTTATTTATTTATTTATACTTAAAATGTCAGTTCTTTGTAAGTTATTTATAACATCTTCAAATTATCTGTTCTTTTAGAGGAAATGGTAAGCCAGAGGGATATAGCAGCAACAACAACTAGTAGTTCACTAGCAGCTTTTCTGCCAAATGAGCTGCAAAAGCAGACATCTATAGATAACACACAAAGTGAAAAAAGGGATAGCAATTTGGAATCAAGTATTGAACACCAAGTAAGTGGTCGTCTGTCATTGTTACTTGTACAGTTTAACTTTAATAAAATGAATATTTGATAAATGAAAATGTCAAAGGGAAACTGATAGGGTATTACATTGAGGTATGCTAACAAACACTTTTACACAGCTATTTTTCTTGAATATCTTTATTTTTTCATAAATTTCAGGACAGTATAGCTTTATCCAAAGATGTAACAGCTGATCATGTTGATTATAAAGTGCCAGCACCTATTGGGAAAGAAAGAGCAGATAGCTCTCCAGTGACACCTCCAGTAAGTACCTATGCCCCCCTTTAGTTCTGCTTTTAAAATACAGTCATGCTATCTTGTATTAAGTTTGAAACACTGCCCCAATTGAAAAGGTTGTGACCCAGTTTCACAGAAAGAGAGAGAGTTTATTTAAAAGTGTCTGTATTGATGTACATAGCTTTGAGGAGAAAATGACTCTCCTCTCAGATTGTCCTTCCTAGTCCTTTATTAAACAATTTTATCATGAGGCACCTAAAGCCTGAAAATCAATTTTATTGTGAAGTTATAAAAAGAAAAAGCATGAAATGTTTTTTAAACTATACCAAGGATTCTGGGATACATAGTTAACCTATTCATCCAGAGAGAGATATATGGTCCAATAAAACACTACTGAGTTTTGCCTTAACCTGAAATTTACCTCNTATTTGCCAAACACAATAAAAGAGAAACAAAAAAAAAAAAAAAAAAAAAAAAAAAAAAATTAAAAAAGAAAAGAAACAATTAACATGGAAAAAACAAAATTTTGTGATTGTTTTTGGATCAATTTGATATTGACAGTAAATAACAGACATTAAATTTGACTAAAATTACTTTTATAAATCATTTTCAAAGCTTATAATATGATGTCCAAAATATTTTTATTTTCGATGGTTCAGTAAAGACATATATAAAATGTGATTAAAGTATCTATAAAAAGAATTATGATGCAATTCATTAGTAAGTAACAGTTCATCATAAATATAAAAGTACTTAAGGTTGAGCATAAGCTTGGGTTTTAACAAATTCTGCAGTGTTCTGTCCCCATGCTCATACCAAATGATTTTATCAAACATCAAGTTTATTTCTAAGGATGCGTTCACAATAAATCTTTTTTCTTGGTATTGAGTAAAATATGGGAAAGCTAGTGATTATTTGAGTACATTGAAAACAATAGGCAGTAATGCAGAATGTTAGTCTTTTCTTTCTAGTTGTTTCTCCATTGCCCTATCTCAGGAAGGGACTAGCCTGGATATCTGGAAATCTGATTTATCGCGACAACTCAACTTCCAAACATTGATATTTTAGAGGCTTATACTAATTAATGATGTTTCTATTGATACTCTTCCTTATCTCCCTTCTGTCTATCTGTCCTGTCTTATATTAGATAATTTTACCTTTCATAATATCAACAAAGATACCTGACTACACATTCAGTAAAGTAAACGACACTTTAAGACATAATGAACTTCATAATTTTCATGTTTTGTTTCACAATTTAATCACTATATATCATTGTAGGTATGCAGTTTTTGTTACCTTGTGCAATTTCTATTTTAAGAAGTTTATAGCAGTATATATATAAAAACAGCATTCCGCTTATCACAATTATGAAAATTTCATCTCATAATACACTAGCTATGATGTTGAATATTGTTATTGAGGCAAGTTGACTAAATGTAAAGATGGCTGTCACAACATATGTTTTCATTGCATTATTTATGTAAAATATTAAGTTTGTTATCTTACTGCTAAATGTAATGCAATGGCAAGAGGTATAGTTATTATCAAAACACAAATGCTATATATTATGACATGTTTTTAGTGAAAATACAAAATAGACACTTCTTTATGGTCCCACAATTATGAACTCATCCTGTGGGATAGTTGTGATTGCTTTTATTTCTGAAAGAATCCTGGTATTATCAGTTGAAATTTATCAATTTCATATCATATATTTTGCATGCTTTTTTTCTTCAAACATTTCTCTTAGTTTCATTTGTAAGAATTATGGGGTTGAACTCAAACTCTGATAAAATGACTTTTAAACAAAGATTTATATATATTAGAAAAAAAAATAAGTTGACTATTTAAAGTATTTTATGAATATAGTTATTTGAGAAAATGTTTTCTTTTACTACCATTTGATCTGCTGTCCACAGATATTACATGTGGGCAATCTGTATGAGGTACAGAATATAATTGTTTATCTGAGGTGATTCACCATGGCACAAAAAGTTTGACAACCTATTGCAGTTTTAGTTTACTTTTTTATTTTTTATGATGTCAGTTTGGGATCATTGTAACTTTGTATGGCTGTTTTATTGGATACCACATGACTTAGTTTACATTTTGAATGTTAACATTAAGTTAGCCTCAGTTATGAAATTTTACAGTTCACAAAAGAATTATGAAATTTAGATTCTCAGTATAAATATTTGATTTGTTATGTTATAGGTCTGCATTGAAATGAAAGTGATTCATTAGTATTTTAATTATATCCCTTTTATTCCCTTCTTTCTTAAGCATATTTAAAATTATCCTTGGCTGCCCTCCTTTTACATTATTATAGGCATGCAGAAATGGGTCCTTTTTCTTACTCTCTGGATTTAGTTAAATTATTTTGGTATTTTTTTTTACAGCTGCCCATTTTTACACAGAACTGCAGGTGATACAGAGAGACGATATCATTTACGTTACTACAAAACAGGAACTTGTGTGTATGAAACGGATGCCAAAGGCTGTTGTGTTAAGAACGGGCCACACTGTGCATTTGCACATGGTGCACAGGACTTGCGTGCCCCAGTCTATGATATCAGAGAGTTGCAGAATCTAGACCAGCCGCCACCTGTAGGACCAGAAAAACCAACCAATGGAAGCCTGGGATCTTCTGGGAGTTTAGAAAAGGACAAGATACTAACAGAAGACCCCAGATGGAATGGTAAGTGGCCTGGTTTTGATGTCATTACTATGGGATGATATTTAGAAAAGGTAATATCATTGGTTTTGAAAACTTCTTTTTTGTTTCTTTTTCATTTTGGCATGTTTTCCTATTGTCATTGATATTTTAATGAATAAATGGGGTTAAAATTAATTATAAGTTCAACAGTTAACATCTGGGTCCAGTTTTATGTGCATCATAATCAGTGTATGCATATTGTATTTTTTAGAACTTATTAACTCTGCATTAACAGGTAATTTACCATCCATTTTGGTCTTATTTAGCTATATCCCTTTTATAGTACATATAAGCTTTGCACAGTGTATTGCCGGTTTATTAGATGGACTGCTAATAAATGATTACTTAACACATAGAAAGCAAACCAACCCATGTATGTTAGCACAAAATTAATTCAGCTTAAAAGAGTGACAACTTGTCATTTTGGTGAGAAAAGTGCCTAAGAGCAGATTTTCCTAGGGTAAACCACAATTTTTCCATGCTTTCCAAAGGTTAATGAATCCATTTCAACATTTAAATTAAGTTGAATGTTTTTTTTTTCTTTTCTTTTCTTTTTTTTTCCTAAAATGTGGTTTTTGCAATCATCTCTAAAGATAAATTATTGTGATAACTGCCATTTTGGTAATAAAAAGGAATTGATTATATTTCTTTATGTTGTTCACAATGTATTTATTTATTGTGGAATTTTGAATCTCATATAAAAAGTTGTTATCCCTTTAACGGTTGAAAGTTGGAAAGGTATTATACACCTATAGATGAAAAATTTTCAAAAATCCAGATATTTTTGTGTTGCACTTAGTCCCTTTCCCCGAGCCCTTACCCTTTTTTCCTCCCCCATTTAGAGCTGTATCTCTTTGGCACTTGAATTTTGTTTTTATGTCCACTCATCTCTGTATGCCTCTGTGTTGTTTGTAAACGTCAGCTAAGTCACATTGTTTTTCTTTGCAGACACAAATTTTGTTTTAGCAAATTATAAAACAGAGCAGTGCAAGCGGCCACCACGGTTATGTAGACAAGGCTATGCATGTCCCCAGTTCCACAACACACGTGACCGGAGACGTAGCCCCAAGGTGTTCAAATACAGGTCCACACCTTGTCCTAATGTGAAACATGGGGATGACTGGGGTGACCCCTCTGTCTGTGAGGCAGGAGACAACTGCCCCTACTGTCATACTAGGACAGAACAGCAGTTTCACCCAGAGGTAAGAGAATTACATTACAATATGAAATGAAACTAATTCATTAGATTTCAGGACTCTAAGGACACTTTGACTTGATTAGTTACAAGGTAAAATGCAGATTTAGAATCTTAAAAAGTAAGTTCCAAATCTTTATAATCAGATGTGTGTGTGTGTCGTGTGTAGTTGGTTATCATGATGTTAGTTGTTGTATATATACTCAACATTCTAAGTTCCATCATGATTATGCATATAAACAATGATTGATGATATTTTATGACACTTAAATTGACATTGCACTACCTGTCCTTTCCCCAGATCTACAAGTCTACCAAATGCAATGACATGGTGCAAACTGGATACTGTCCTCGTGGATCTTTTTGTGCTTTTGCTCATGTGGAACGTAAGTTGCTTTAATGAAGACAGAAGACTGAAGTGGATTTGAAACCAACACAGTTAATGTTTATCATGCGTCAAGATGCCTTATAAGTGCATTAAAATTAAACACTTTTAGGGCAAAAAATTCCTCTTTTCATTATTTTATTCACAACATCATGCGCTTGTCCTTTAAAGCTCCACCCCCATTTATCAACAATTTGACTGCTTCAGGAAATTATTGTAATAATGTAGCTTAATGTATCTACCTTTTACCATTTTCATTAAATGTAGTTACTTGGGCATGGGTGTTAACTGTAATAATGTACTATTTATTTATTTATTTATACTTAAAATGTCAGTTCTTTGTAAGTTATTTATAACATCTTCAAATTATCTGTTCTTTTAGAGGAAATGGTAAGCCAGAGGGATATAGCAGCAACAACAACTAGTAGTTCACTAGCAGCTTTTCTGCCAAATGAGCTGCAAAAGCAGACATCTATAGATAACACACAAAGTGAAAAAAGGGATAGCAATTTGGAATCAAGTATTGAACACCAAGTAAGTGGTCATCTGTCATTGTTACTTGTACAGTTTAACTTTAATAAAATGAATATTTGATAAATGAAAATGTCAAAGGGAAACTTAAAGGGTATTACATTGAGGTATGCTAACAAACACTTTTACACAGCTATTTTTCTTGAATATCTTTATTTTTTACATAAATTTCAGGACAGTATAGCTTTATCCAAAGATGTAACAGCTGATCATGTTGATTATAAAGTGCCAGCACCTATTGGGAAAGAAAGAGCAGATAGCTCTCCAGTGACACCCCCAGTAAGTACCTATGCCCCCCCTGTAGTTCTGCTTTTAAAATACAGTCATGCTATCTTGTATTAAGTTTGAAACACTGCCCCAATTGAAAAGGTTGTGACCCAGCTTCACAGAAAGAGAGAGAGAGATAGTTTATTTAAAAGTGTCTGTATTGATGTACATAGCTTTGAGGAGAAAATGACTTAGATATGGCCAGATTTACATCTCCTCTCAGATTGTCCTTCCTAGTCCTTTATTAAACAATTTTATCATGAGGCACCTAAAGCCTGAAAATCAGTTTTATTGTGAAGTTATAAAAAGAAAAAGCATGAAATGTTTTTTAAACTATACCAAGGATTCTGGGATACATAGTTAACCTATTCATCCAGAGAGAGATATATGGTCCAATAAAACACTACTGAGCTTTGCCTTAACCTGAAATTTACCACTGAAACATGAGTTGATCATATTCCAGATTACAGGTCAGTTGTCCTCTCCAGTTTTTATTGGCCACGGTGTACCTGGTCCTATAGGGAAAGGACGCTCTAGTAGCACTTCCAGCAGTATTAGTACTTCAGATAGCGGGTTCTATCAAAGAACACCAGGAATTGGGAGAGAAGATACTCAGGTAACTTGTGTAATCTCTCAAACACATCAAATGCAGGGAATAGATTGGTTTAAATTGTAATAATAAGCATCCATTTGAGCTTTTAGTATAAACAGGTGTAAATTATCATGTAAATGTGAAAGGTGTCTTAAAAGACAAAATTACATAAACATTCTGAAATAATACTCTTTGAACCTAGATGTAAAATTTAGATATTGGCCTGTAAATATGTGCCATTTTGTTCCCTTGTTTTCCAGCCACAGACAGTCATGTCTCAGGCCAAGCTTAGGCAGCAGTTACAAGCTATAGAAAATGATCCCAGTTTGGACACTTCTGAAAAGGCTAAGAGAAAACAAAATCTAATACTAATCCATACGCTAAATGGGAGTAATAGCTCTGCAACACCTAATAATAGCTCAGTATCATCGGCTACATCCACTATGTCGCCACTTGCACCGCCTTTCTTTCCCCCTGGTGATACTGTGGAGTCTGTTATAGGTAGGTGTCTGAGAAAACTTCCTTTGATCATTGAGAACAACAGCTAGAGTCACATACACCCCATTCTCCTAATGGTGTACACACACTGTAACTGTCAGCATCCACTGCACAACCGTGTGCACCAGTTTACTTCCACTTCCCTTCCCAAACCCAAAATAAAATGTTTGCACTATCCACTTCTTGGGGTTGGTATTAACAGCCAATTAGCAGCAACCTGCATTCCACTCCCCATCCTTTCCAACCCTGATTTGTGCTTAATATAAGTGTTGGATATAGTAGTATTCCTCTTCATTAAGTAATAAAGACCAGATTTTTAATCCCACTCAGTAGAAAGATATTATGAGAATCTTTACAATAAGTAATTTATGTAATCAATATTTTATTTCAGGCAATGCACTGGAAGATCTCAATTTGGAAGATTTTGACCTTTCCTCTATAGACAAGGAACTAGAGAAGGATAATGACAACAACTCCGTGTGCAGTTCAATAAGTGCAGGGTTTTCCTCTAGTAAGTTATGTTTTAATAATTGATACCTGAAAAAAGTAGGGACAGTGGTTTTGTCGTTTATAGGATGGGACACTGGCTGTCAAGTTTTGTTTTTCTTTTTTATATCAAGTAAAACGTCTTCTGAAACAAAAATACTACTAAGTTACCTAGACATCTTTGATTTTTGACATATACATGTTCCGTAAATCCACTTGGAACATCCCATACTCTAGTGGTCAGATCCAATATCATAGGTAACCAGTACAATATATTGCTGTTGTTCCTAATATTCCAGATTATCTAGGATCATCATCTGGGCCTGTCAATATCCCAGATGGCGGTGTATCCCGAGGCAGTGCAGGCAGTCTGGACTCGCCTGTATCTTCTTTAGGTAGTTTGCCCCCAGCTTTTGTACCACAACAGATGCAGCTGCAACAGAAACAGGAGCAACAGCTAGAACAGGTTTGTGTTTACATTTTCTCGGCAATCAGATTTTCCAGTTAACACCACCTTAAAACTTAGAGATCCAAAGATACCATAAAATCACGATGAGCATCTTCTTTGTAGAAATTATTGTATTCATTTTAAACTGATCTAAAGAGTATTGTTTCACATAATTATTATCATCTTGTCTAGTAGTTATTATGATAACAGTTAATATAACTGGATCAAACCAACCCATAACATATATGTGACTGCTTTGTTTCATATTTTAAGATAATTGATGAACCCAGCAATAGTTTAGACTCGGAATGTGTATTGTAATTGCATTCTACGCTATATTTGCAGGCTGCAGCTGCTTTCCTGAGTCAACCCAATCCAGGAAAGTACCACATGCCAGGGTTCTCAGACTATACCAATAACTCCCCCAGGAGCAGTACAGGTGGGGCATTATCCCCCCTGGTGGCACCTTCACCAACCTTCAGCTCAAATAGTGAGATGCACAGGCTTCGAGAGGAGCTCATGGCCAATAAGTCCAAGCTGCATTCTTGGGAGGAGGGTATTTCGCAAGCCAGGAGTGTAAGTTGTAATTATGTTTTCTAAAATGAGTGAATAAAAGAATGAATAGTTTAATAAAAGTCTTCTGCATCTACTTTTATTGCTTGTTAAGTTGGATTATGGAAATTTTAGTTAAATTTGGTTAACTGAGAAGGTTATAATGAAATTTGACTTAAAGCATAACTGATGATTCTTATGTAATTTTAGGCTTGTGATGCTTGGAAAAAAGAGGCAGAAGAATCTTTAAAGAAGGCAAAAATTGCAGAAGCAGAGAAATTAGAAATTATGAGGCAAAGAGATGAGGTAATGCAGTCTTATGAAATGTGCGATCAACAAGTGCATAGGTGTAAATTTACTTCTGCAGTGATTATATTGTTCACTTCAGTAATGAAACAAGTAAACCCAATTTATACTGCATATTTTAAGAGAATAATATACACTCAATTTAAATTAACGGGTTCTATTACTTTCTTTTCAGGCATTGGGTCAAGTTGTGAAATTAACACAAGAAGTAGAACGGCTAAATGGAGGACCCTTTTTACACTGTTTAAAACGTATCAATGAACTGGAAAACTTGCCAATAGCTCAGTTGAAAAATTTGCAGACTCAGCTACGATTAGATTTAGATAGATTAGATAAAGTAAGTCTGATAAAATAGTAAAACCACTTATTGTACATTATTGGGAGGCATGGATGGTGATCAAGTTGAAAAAATTAATTATATAGTATACTCGCAATAATTGTAAATATTACAAGGAGTTGCTATTTTTAAGTATGCATGCTTTTTCAAAGAAGAGAAGGGAACATAGAATAGGATGAACATTAAGGCTCAATTTTGTTAATTATTATTATATTTATTTATTTTAATTATTTTATTTTTATTTTATTTATTTTTTTTTCAGATCGTATATCAGTATACAGCCATGAAATGCCTAGTATGTCAAGACAAGAACCGAAGTGTAGCTGTTATGCCTTGTAATCACTATGTACTGTGTGATAGCTGCTCCAGTTTAACCACGGAATGTCCGTACTGCCATGCCCCTATAACACAGAGATCCAGCATTGTACTGCCTCTATAATCATCTCTCTCGTTAGTCATTTTAACCATACATTTTATAAAATAAGGGGAGAAAGGTGCTGATTTTTTTTTCTTGGGAGAAAAGGAGCTTTAACAGATTACAAATACAGGATGGTGGATCAGGTTCTCATATAAGGATTATACTATACAGTTATATATGCCAGGATGGTAGCAGAGGATGATTTCCCAATAGACGATTGTAATCAAATGACATTGCAGTTGCTTTCTTTCATGCCTGGAGATGGTATTTCAAGTACACTTTACTTCATATCAATGATTGTGAATGGACATCAAAAAAGCATTGGTGCATTACAATAATGACAATCGGGATGTTTAAATCTGAACTTTTTGGAAGTCAGAGTTTAGCTTGATGCAGTTATGCATTACATTGCAATATTTTCTTATATGATTGACTAAGTAATTGAGGGAGAAGGTGGTATATTGTGTCTAATTAGACCATTCTTATAGAGGCAATATTGAAGATTAGACTTGTAACTTGATTTCCTTCATAATCACAAACCTGTTTTCACAGCTTCAAGAATTGGACTTTACATGACTATCATTTCATTTTTGAGAGACCTCTCTTTGTGCCCATTGTTTTAAATATATATTATTATAATTGGTTTACATTGAATTTGATTATGTTTTGAGTACTATTGATCCTTCTTTACCTATAAGGTATGATTATTTCTGTTGATGATTGATTGTAGGCACAAATTTACACCAGGCAGAGCTGGCTCTTGCTTCCACTAGAACAGGCATTATGAAATGATAAAGTTTTCTTCATTCTCCTTTTGTAAATTTTACCATTGTCATGAAATGTCATAGTAAATTGAAAATCTATTAAAGAAAAGCATCCCTCCATTTTTTTTTCTTTTTTTAAGTTTGAATAAGGTACCTGGTTGTTGGTTTTTGTATATTATTAAATATTTCTCAAAGCTTAAAAATTGGTTTGCTTTTATTCATTTTCTCTTATTTCTTACATTTTTGTATTTAAAAATTGTGGGGCCCTTCATGCTGTGCTGACACGTGCAAACAAGTTAATTATCAACTTCCTAGACTTTGAATCCAAATAAATGTTTTCATTTGTTCGACAAATTTTTAAACTGAGTAAACGGCAGTAATTGGAGTAAAAGTCTGAAAATAATATTGAAATGTTTTACAGATAGAGAGGTCTGTGGTGACATGCAATGATTGTTTTTTTACTAAATGCTTATTTAATTCAATGATAATGAATCCTCTCACAGGCTCTTGGTGCTTACTAGTAAATACGACCAATCTTGATTGGAAGCAGACAATCAGACTACTATTTTCGTATATCAAGGTAAAAGATGTATTTTAAGTAGGTGCTTTAGGGAAGTATTAAAACTCAGTACAGTACATGGGAATTGAAATGCATGCCCCCCTCCAAAAATAAATAAATAACGAAGGGAAAAAAAGGAGCTCAATGCCTGCATTGCATAGGCTATGCACTGTAATCTGGTTCAGGATTAGCTTGTATTGCGTGACTGGTTTCTCTTTCGACTGTCATTCCATATTAGGCGAAGCCTTATCCTTATATTTGAAAGATATGTAGTCTACTGGATTGTCAAAACGAATCTGTGAAGACAAACTACTTCAAAGATTTGAATGATTTCAATATTTTTCATGTTTTCATTGTTTCGTCATGATGACATTAAAGAGTTGAGTGGCATAATTAGATTTTGTGGCATGCATATTGTAGATTGATTCATTGACGGGTCAACGTGATAGCTACAGATACGAAATAGACTACATATCAAAGCACATATCCCTGTTTCTTGCAACATGAAAAGTAATAGGTAAGGCAATAAAATGTGTTCTTATAAGATAAATAACATCTGCAAAACAGATCGAGTAAATTCAACTTTTCTTTATGCCGTCCTCACAACACAAACTCGCTCGGTGCCGTGGAATATGCAGGTGCGCGGATCTAGTGCTGCATACGATTAGCCAATCAGAAGCATGTTCATCGTCCAATCAGAACTCGGATAGCGCATCCAATTGAAAATAAAACAGGGGCGAAATCTCGACCAATAAGAAAGCAACTTATTCGTCCAATGAGAATTAAGTAGGTCAGGCCAAAAATGTCAGATTTGCTCCAATCAGCATTTTTCATACATTGAAAGTTATTTATAGAATCTGGGAAGCGAAGTCTGTACCGTCTTCTATTATCATTGAAACACTCGACGTCGACTTAAGTCTACCTCGTGAAAAGGTAAGAATTTTGACAAACCTGAATTAAAAAAGTTATTAAAAACTATTTTAACTCCATTTTCAATTTATGTGGAATACAACGATATAAAATTTACACATGGTTTAATTCTGCTTTTTAAGAAAAATTTGAATTTATTTCATAAGAAATTTGACCGCCATTTTTGTTTAGAGTTACCGGTGACGCCATTTTCTCATTGATGAGTAATACATTCCAAATTTAACCATTTGAGAAATTCCTCTGAAGTTTTTAATATCAGAACCATTACACAACATTAAAAGTTACCTAATGCTGTACTCGTATTTTAATATAACTTTTTTCATACTAGAAGTATTTGACTGTAGATTTTGAACAAAGCGCTAAGGTTAGTAGGTCAAGATGCCATGAGGTTCATCCAAACAAAGTAACGACGAACACAGTTGTCAGTGGGATTTCTATCTTTAAATAAAGTCGTTTTATTATTTTAACTTCCAGAAATGGCTCGTACAAAGCAGACTGCTCGTAAATCCACTGGTGGAAAGGCCCCGCGTAAGCAGTTGGCCACCAAGGCAGCGCGTAAAAGCGCGCCATCAACTGGAGGCGTGAAGAAGCCCCATCGTTACAGGCCTGGAACTGTAGCTCTCAGAGAGATTCGTCGTTATCAGAAGTCCACAGAGTTGCTGATCCGCAAGTTGCCATTCCAGAGACTTGTCCGTGAAATCGCACAGGACTTCAAAACTGATCTCAGGTTCCAGAGTGCTGCCATTGGGGCTCTGCAGGTAACCAGAAATTGTCTAAATTTTAATATTGAATAACTGCAAATTTGTTGGTGAACCTGGCATGGTGTTGGCAAGTGATGTGACATAGATTTATTGATTTGTTTTTCTTGTTAAATGGGCATTAAGTCAAACATCCTTCTACAACAAAATAATTGAAATATGGCCCTTTTTACTGACTTTGAATAATTTCGTCCCATTTGTTACATTTCAGGAAGCCAGTGAGGCATATTTGGTTGGATTATTTGAGGACACCAACTTGTGTGCCATCCATGCTAAGCGTGTCACCATTATGCCCAAGGATATCCAGCTGGCTAGGAGAATCCGTGGAGAGAGAGCTTAACATGTTCATATTGACTGACTTTTTAGACTTCATGTTTCAACAATCTCACCAATCATGAGACCAAACGCATCATCAATTTATCCACATTTCTAGGAGGGATTTTATACTGCATAGTGGAATATTTCCTTTAGTGCGTGTCTAGTAGCATTTTTAATGGACTATTCTTCTTAACTTATTGTGCTGCTTTCGTCTTGTGGCTGTATTTTGAAATGAGGTGGCCAAATGTGCACGGAAGAATGTGAAACTACATCGACCATTCGAGAGTGATTGGAGAGCCACAATTTCAAACTATGTGTATGATAGCGTAAAAAAAAGTATATTTTATTTTGTACAATCTTTGTTAGTAAACTATTTAACCATAGATGATTCTTTTGATATTACAAATTTTCAGTGTAGGTTAACCAGGAGATTTAGCAATAACATATGACCTCAAAATGGAAGATCTCATGAAATAAAAAAAAATCCTCACTGAATAAGACCAGATTTAAAAGTGAGTACGGGTACCTGCACGTGACTCCACGGAAATTTCCAAAAGTGACCAACATTTCGATTGTATTTGGAATAAATTTCTTTTACCCTGACGATGTTGTACATTTCAGTTCTTCGTTACTTGAAAAAGACGAGTTGTTGCTCTGTTCATCCAAAAGAAAAAAAGCTCTCCGATTGTTTTTGCCCGATTTTCGTTTGGTTGTTATGGCACCACTTCGTAATGGTACGTTACGTACTATATAGTTTGCAGTAATGTGGAGGGTGGTACTTAAGTTTTTTCATTTTCCTTTGATAGAATTATGTCAAAACCACCTTTGAAATCGTTTTATCCAGACGTTTTCTAGGTCAATTCGAAAGTTTTATTTGGTCCTAGCTAAATCGTGTTTCTGTATGTTATAGGGACTTTTTAAAACAATTATCATACATGATATGAAGGGTCCAAATTGATAGTTATACCCAGTTACTGGTGTCACCGACTTCATTTGGTGGTTGTCAACCAAATAAAATGCTATGGAATCAGAAAATGGATTGGAGAGGGTGGAGATTTGGTTAATTGACACAAAATGCAAGGCGTGATCCGTGAACACCCGAAACTAGTTTCAATGTTATAAATATACCTCTGCGTTGGGGGATGGGAATGGTGTATCAAGAATGCAAATCTCAGATGGTAGGAAAATTGCCATTTGACCAAATGCCACATGTCATGATTTCTAAATAATGCGTTTCATTGTAAAGAGTATGGGAATAGTACATTACGCTACATTTCAATTAACATGTACTTACAAGACAAGAAAGATGTAAATGTGTTATCACAGCAAGGATTGTCTGTTAACTTAGCGTTAAAGTCCTAGAGACTAAAAAGTAATTGAGTAAAACAGACTGACGGAAAAGACGACGGCATTGCAGTTGTTGAGATTCTTATCTGCAGCATTCCAATTACTGCATCTTTACAGCAGTGCCACGCATGATACTGGAGCCGGGTCGAAGATAAGTTGAAAAGAAAGGTAATCCTGACATTTTTTTTTTATTTTACATAGAATACACTCAAAAATGATACGTGTACAGAGTACTTGCATATCTTGGCATGCCTTCTAATATGTGCCCACAGAATAAGGGCCCAGTGCTGGTCTACTGAATGCATTGGAAGGCTCAACAAAGCAACTGCACCAAACATTATTTTGAGTGCGCTTCCAGTTATCCCCCCCCCCCCCCAAAAAAAAGACAAAAAAATCCTGGGTCCCATATAATATAATGTTATATGTGCTAAGGTTAACAGTGCTAAGGTTAGCCAAAAGTATCGAGGTAAGTATATGGGGCGAATGTCACCTAAACAAAGTAAAGCCAGAGAAAACGGACTGGCGTTCCTGTCGGTGCAGTTTGTTATCCAAAGGGACCACTGCTGTTTAATTTAAGTCAAAGTAAATTTTTGGTCTAATTGCATAGAACTATTTTCTGTCGAAAGTTCTAAATATAAAAGGCCCCAGGTAACTACAAGTCAAGTCACTATTAGGCTCACATTTTGAAGGGATGTAAAAACACGGAGAGCATTGAATATGAAAAGACTTGTTTTAAATTTAAAAATGAAGAAAGAAAATGTATGAACTGGAAAAATAAGTATAAAGAAATGTACACATATAAACGAGATGATGTCAATGAACTCTTAATCATAAACCTTATTACTCATTTGGACAATAAAGCCCCGTACAGTCATCAATTATCACTTGTTATAATAGTTGTTTAAGACCCCATTCCAAGAGATTAGATCGATCCAAACTAGATCGACCTAACTCCCTGGGGGTTCACGCTAAAAAGCTGTCAGCCGAGCGGGCACGAAAGTTAATTACCCCCTTACAGCTTGTAGTAGGCGGGATGGACATTTAATATCTGACAGTAATCTTGTGAGACTCCTCACGGGGATAGATCGATCTAAAACCTATGGGAATACGCCCTAAAGCACTTTGAATAAAACGGCATTCAAAGCAAAAAAAAAAAAAAATGGAAAGCAGACCAAAATCCAGCGTAAAATCTCTTTTTACGAAAAAATACAACTTTGGGGACTACTCCTTTTTTTTCATGGACATACACCTTTCGCCACAGACGATTTGGACCTTTTGTCAACGCGCCTTGTGACAAGGCCTAGTCTATGACAGTATCTAGTAAACGGTGAAAAGACGCTGGGAGCGTGGTTGTGCCTAATAAAAAAGACCAGGAGATAGGTAAACCTGTTCAGGAGGATAAAAAAATCCTATGATAAAACTAATCGTGAGCTAACATATAGATAAAATGCCCCGGTATAGAGGCTTTAGGCGTGTCAGCGGAAGCTCTGTTCGTAATTAGATTCACCACAGCACGCGCTCTGCACGCGTCCGCACGAGTCCGGCACGCGGGGAGTGGACAAACAGCAGCTAATTACTTCAAACAAAAGCCAAGTTTAGCGCGGTCAGAGGCGAAGATAATTGGCGTATCACTTTCATTCCTGTTGAAAATAAATATTGTTCCATTCTCTATCTTCTGTTGCAATTGTGATACAACCGCTTCCTGAAATCTTAGCACAGCTGCGATGTCGCAAAGTGAATTTAAACAACGTTTCATTTTTAATCAAAATACTATTGAATTTATCAATATGTTGTCCTTCTCCGGCAAAACACACTGATATCGAAGAGTACGCTTCTACTTTCAAATTAAGTTAAAGGTCACATCAGCATAAATATAAAACCCTGGATTTTATAGATATTGCGTTTTATAATAACGTTTACCCTTATAATTATTTGATTCTTGGATTAATATTAATAAATCTGTCTCATGAAATATATCACCGTGTTTTTGCCAATCAGTATATATATATATATATATATATATATATATATATATATATATATATATATATATATATGAAAAGAAAACAAGAAAAGAAAAAAAATCACTAGGCTTACAAGAAGTTGAGAGTAAGGATGACGGAAATAACCTTGAACATGAAATCGACGGAGCAAACTCATTGCCACTGAAGCAAAAACATTTTATGCATTACTCACACTTTAAGTTTTTTTCCTGTAATCAACTTAATTGTTGGTTATGTGGTTGAGGCGTGGTGTTACCTATCTGCACAGCGGGGACTATTAACCGCTGCTCAGCAATTTGTGGCGAAGCACCGTCGCTTCTTGTCCAGCAACAGTGGGCGGTGACGCCATGTTACTAACGTTTTCAAATCATTTCAATTTCCAAAAACTTTGCATTTTTGCTTATTTTCTCCATATATTAATTAAATAAGGAATTCGACAGCATTGTCATTTACAGCACCTACTAATGTTTCGTCTGTGCTTTCAAATCTCCTGGGGCCCATACTCTATTGTCAGCATGAGCCAGTTTTTCTCTATCTTTGTGCAGGACTTTCGTCATTTCGCCAAGTTGTCGATACAAATTTTCAAGCTAGCGCAATCTAATCTCTCCACTTCAAGATAAAGTAATTTGACTCAAATTAAACATGGCCCACGAGCTCCTCTGCTGGGCGTCTCTTTTGTGTCTAGACTCGGAAACTTTATCACTTCAAAAGAGAAGACATGCAGAAAACGCTGTTGGATTTAAAGCGCGCTACCTCAAGAAGAGGAGTAGTTTTACAACCAGAACTCCAAGAACACGGACACCTTCTACAAAGATGGCACTGATGGATAATTCACTGAATGCTTTTGGTCTTACACCGCCGACGGGACAAGCTCCTTGGACGCGCACGGACTGCAGTTTGCAGCAGCCGGCATTTGAAAACGCAATTGACTACCAAAATTTAGCGCAAAATAATGGAGACAGCCAAACCGTTTTGTACTACCAGATAAACTATAACAATAACATGGTTTGCTCTGCGCCACAGTGGGACGGAAACAATTTCCATGAGTACACAGGCGCACGTGAAATTCTGACCATTGAAACCAACACCGCAGAGCACTCCGTTGGCAGTTACAGCAGCCTTCCCCAGCAGAATCCTCATCCCAAGCAGCAGTACCCGTGTGTCCACGGTGAACACGGGGATAATAAGTTGGTGCAGTACTCGCGCGGGGGAGCCACAGAACGCGAGAGAAACCGTATGCACTTGCTAAACGATGCGTTTGAGGAGCTGAGGAAGGTTGTCCCCAAGTCAAATCTCAGCGAGCACCAAAGGCTGTCGAAGATAGCCACACTGCGTCTGGCGATCCACTACATTTCAGCTCTGACCAGCATACTGAAAAGTTCTGGCGCCGAGATCCGGCGAATTCAAGACATTCCAGCTCCAGAGCCAAGGCGTAAACGGGGGAGGTGCACCAGGAGAAAAATCCATAATTGCCACAGCTTTGACGCTCATTCATATGGTGGCAAAACTGGACGTGTTCAAAAGAAAAATAGACATCCCCAGCACATAAGCTATGAAGGTTTATCACATGACACGGAGGAAAGGAGCCAGTTTCCACTAACAATAGAAGCAGAAATCACTCCTAACTGTGTAAGAAATGAAAATCTGCGTTGAAATGGGGTGTAAATTTTAAATGATATAATGTTCAAAGAGAGATACAAATTTTGACAAATTTTAACATATAAAGAACACAAGGTTTTCATTATCAAAATGAAAGCATATATTTAATTTGCGTGGTTAAAAAAAGTATGAAATTCATTATGAATATTCGGTTTCAGAAATTATTGTTTGATTATTGAATTAAGAAAGATTTCGACCAATTCTAATATACAGAGAGCACGCTGTTTATTTATATGTTATGATGTTTTGTTATATTATGTTATGTTATATTATATTGTTTATTCAAATATTGACATAGATTGAGTTTGTTTAAAGAAAATTATTTGGATGATTAAAAAATGATGCTAATTTTTTAATTGATTGTTATTTTTTTTTGTCTTTTTGGCATGGGGCTGGGTATCAGTGAATTTTCTTTTTTTATTTGACTTTTAAAGAAATAAAGAAATCTTGCTTACTATGAAATGTTCTACTTTTCATTATCAGTCAACCAGTTTTTTATTCTGATATTAAAATAAATATTTCAAGAATAAGATGAAGCAGGCGAGAAAAAAGGTTTTCACGCGTAATTCTTTATGTTTGGGCAAAAAATATTAACCATCTTCCCCTATGCCTTATTGTTGTGCTAATTATACTTGCGCCGTAATTTAAAGATTTAAATTTCAATTAAAATTCAGCATTTAAAAGTAGCCGTTACAGAAGGGCATTCTATCTTCTGCTTTTCTACATATGACCATCTGATGGAAAGCATCTTCCTTAGATAAATATCGCATGGCTTTTCTCTTCGTGCTCTTAAGCTTCGCCCGCTCTCTTTTACTACAATTCAAGACAGAATCGTGTTCTGAGTGGGAGTTTTTCAGAGCAACTTTGTGACTACTCTCCTTAAATGGACTCCTCTATAAACGCCTATCGTTGCATTTTGTAACAACTCGAATAAAATAAGTGACCTGGTCAAAGAGGGACTGCTGCTCCCAGAACACTAAACTGCACAGGAGACAAAGGCTGAATAGCATGAGTGCAAAGAAAAAAAGTTCTGAGACCGGTTCTTCTAGTTGGTCATGGAATGAAGGGTCAGAGAGTGTGCGAGGTCACGTAGAAAAGCACACACAAGGTCACATATCAACTACGCCGGGGCATACATCAGCCTTGCGGTGATCGAATATTTTGCTCAAACCTGTTTATATAAGTCAAAAATATCCAGTTGTGAATAAAGAATCAAAGCGAATGTTGTTTATGTTGCACCCCAACCACGGGTACGTGGCGGGCCAAGACTACCGGGTTGTCCTCGTCTCGCTTTGATCCTTTTTGCGGGTGTGTTTCTCTTTCTTTTCCAAATTTTGCGTGTATAATGTGATTTAAAACGCGTTTTATTTCTATCCCCTAACCAGTTATGAAAACAAGAGAAATATCTTTACCTCCTTCAGTTTTTAAAAATTAGAATATTTATCCTCTACTAAGGTATGTTGCTTTTGCTGTATTTTATTCGTTTATCTGTTTTGCAGGGATATTTCCTTTACACACGATAACTTCAGATATAATACTTCACGCAAAAAGTTTACCGAGTTTTGAGTGCATTTCCGTTGGTCCCACCAGGAGAAGGGATTGTCCTTGTTTGCTACTTTAGTTCAATTTCCATGTTGACTTTTATTATGTTTTGTATTATTCTATTCATTTTCTGTTTTGCTTTACGGAGACTTGAATAACTGCTAAACAATATCTGGTGACATACACCCGGTGCCAGCATAATGCATTTTGTGACTGATAAAAGCTCGCTCACAACACAAAAAAACGTGACCGAGGAAACATCAAAAATATTTTTCGGCAGTATTTCATATTGAATGGTGCTTTGTCCTTACCCTTCACAGTACTGGGGTCTGTTCTGCAACGTGGTGTCATGATACATGGGGTTGTTTACTTCGCTCAGAATGTTGATATTAGAGGCGAAGGCGTTTGTTTCTCTCACCTTTAAAACATCGACTGTTTGTCCACCTGGCGTCACAGTATAAGGAGAGAAAAGCGGAGTTATCAGCGCTGACCGCGTCGGTAATTTAATTTGACGCGTCACGGTACGTCAATCTCCAGCGTAGATGTCTTTCAGAAGGTTCGTGACCTGTGCTGCCTGACCGGCTACCGTTGCTGAATATATTACTTCCACATATTATAGGCGACTATACGGACACATTCAAGTTTGTAACAGGCGATTACTTAACATTCAATAACCTTTATAATACTCGATCCATTTGTGCTGCACGATATTTCTGCCTCACTTACCCAATAAAATATAATTAGTCTGCGAACTTGTACGTTTAACTCATAAGGACCAAGAACGACGAAGGATAACAAGGTCCGTGTGCATGTTGCACGAAAATTTGTGGTAAGTTTCAAGATATTTGATTAGAAGGAAATCCAATCCCGAAATTAAATTTCATGTTTAAAAAGGGCGATTTTTAAGGTTAGGTATCATTAAGAGAGAGAGAGAGAGAGATAAAGAAAAGCTGTGTACTACCATCCTGCGGTTGTCAATTTGTTAATTTTTTTATTCGTTTTCCGTTACAATTGCTCTGATTTGCTACAATTGCTTTGATGAAATTTATGTTGCAATTAGTGAGGGAGAAATTTTTTTTTTTTTTTCAAAATGAAGCGAGTCATAATTAACATGCACAGATATTCGAGCTCACTCACAGTAACAAATAACGACGACAGCCGAACAATCTTGATTTTTAAAAGTGGTCAAGAAATTTTTTTTATAAACATAAATCTTAAGTTGATAATTGGCACTTGTTGGTGTCGAAAGGGTAGACAATTGCAGTCAAAATCGATTCAAATCGCCTCCTCGCTTCTCAGGCAGAGGAGATATTGCGTGTCCCTCCATTGACTCAGAATATACACACAGGGAATTATTTTCCTAAAGCAGAGTTAGGATGTGTTTTAAAGTTTTGCAATCCCACTAAACGCCACGACTGCTGCTGTTCTATAGTTTTTGTTGAGACTGAAATGAAAGTGGTAGGGTTATTTTCTTAGACAAATTACCGTCCTTCTAAACAAAAAAGTGTGTTGTCTTGTGCAAAGCGAAGTTAGTCATGCCGATTCACTCATTTATTAATTCACATAAACAATATTTTGATTGCCTTACCTGCTTCAGCGTCAGTGTTACGCAATATGGCTTACAAATATTCGACCTGTAAGATTTTCGTACATGTGGAATATAAATTAATAATTGCATTTCATACATGTAAGAAACCGAAGAATTCGTACCTGATCCGATTGTTAGTGCCTTTTATGTTTACACCAGCTTTAATCATTCCAGCTCTAGGAGCATCTCAGATCAGAATTAATCCCACATCGCCACACCGAAACCTCCTCAAAGTACAGATAATGTAAATGGTACACAACGGTTGCAAAAGTTCGCAATAAGTAATTCTCTACAGGAATGACTTAAGTTCTGCGACACGATGCCATTACTCGATTCTTGTGAGAGCTGAACTTTTACTAGTCATGTCGCATGACAGATACGCAAGGGCTGTGGCCGTGAGTGCTGAACAAGAACGCTTGTTGCAGTTGAAACAAAATGAACTTTCCAAAGACAGAAAGTCAACAATACAATATTTCGAACGCGAGCGCCATGCTCTGCAGCAAGAATTGCGGGACATTCGAGCTAAAACGCCATATTTAAAGGAGGCTATTATAGCTGGAAAAGAGAGCGCACATGTCGATGACAGTGGACGCAGTTCGCCGAGAATCCAACCAACAGAAAGAGCACAGTCACGCCGAGCCAGAACTTCTCCCGCAGCGACCACATGTCTCCAGGGCCCGGCGTCTCGCCCATACTCTAGAGGCCAGCTGCAACACCCCCTGGCGGATACATTGAATGACAAAGTGACACAAGGGACGTTGAAGAGACTACGCCAGGCTGAACACATTTCTAAATCAATAGAAAGTGTGATAAGGCAGAAACTGGAACACAGGCATACTCTGGCGAATTTGGTCAAAGAACACGCACAAACCACGAAAGCGCTCGACTCCTAGACGTCTTTCCCCTGCATTTTTTTTTTTTTTTTTTGATTAGCAATCAGTGTAACAAACACGTTGGCACACACTCAGGATCAAATACTTGAAGAGTTATTTTTGCAAATTCGATTTGCAGGGAATGCACTGATCAAAGCAATGACAATCATGGGATATACCCCGAAGCACCGAAGCAATTGGATGTTGAAGTATGTCTCCTCTATCACATCAGAAGCAATTTCATGACAATCAGAGTGATGCTAGTAATATATCACTTTTCACCCAGTTCAATAGGTTTTCCCACCGAAGTTGACTACAACTTGCCTAGAACTTGCCACTTGCCTAGAACTTGCCGTCATTTGTCTGTCAACGAATTAAGCAACTAGGTTTTACTAAATAAATACTGAAAATCCACAAAATGGTGTGCTTTATTTAACCGTTTTTCCTTTTTTTATTACCTTAGTTGCATTTTGTATTAATACATTAAGTGTGTGTGTGTGTGTGTGTGTGTGTGTGTGTGTGAGAGAGAGAGAGAGAGAGAGAGAGAGAGAGATTATCATTGACTCTGTAGAGAAAATTACAAAAAAGGAAGTAAAGACATCTAGTTAATGGTCAGTTGCTGAACTGAACTTCTTGATCCCACTCCTACGACTATAATGGGTTGTAAATAATGGAATATTGATCGCTGAATGTTTTTCACACAGGTTTTTGGCAAGGAAAACTGGTCTGGAAAATGTGCACATAAAATTCCGAAAAGTAACACTCAATATACGTATATTGGGTCTGAGATGAAAAACACTCTAAAAGTGAGACCGATTAAATAAATCCCGTGTTTGCCAATAGGGACGGTTTTCTGATATTTCTGACCTTTCACATTTAAGTGGATCCATAAATGCGCCGAATAATAAGCATCGCTTCCTGTTTGGGTCAGTAACTAACACGATGAACGCATTTCTTGGAATTCTACAACCATGTGTATGAGTGAATAGTCATATATACATATATATCTATTTTATTAACGGATACAGGTAGATTATGTAAACTGGCCATGCAGATAGGGATCAATCATTCACAATATTGTAGGAGTCCTGAGACATATTAACGGGACAAGAAGCAGTAGAACGATGTGGAATTACGTACAAGGAAACAAAAGCAAATGCCATAGAAACGCTGCCAGTATTCTAAGCCTTTTCGATCGCTTATTTGTGAAGTACAGCAGCTTATGAGAGTGACTGGCGTGAGACGCCAGCTAGAACGCCGTAGTAATCGATCATCTTTCCATAGCTGATATTTAAAGAGAGTTCGTCTTTGATTTCTACATTTTCTTATCATTGACCGCTAAGAGCTAAACGCTTACGAGGAAATGTATTAGTTTGACCGTCCCGGCCTGAAGGTAGATGAAGTAACAACCACGGCCTAATGCAGGCGATCATAGCGGCCGTGGTGGGCCTGTCCATATTCCACCTGGTGCTTGGGGCCGTAAGCGTCTGTCTAGGGGTGGTTTCCAGTATCCAGGCAGAGGTATGGCTTGCCCACAGTGTCTCACCCATATGGAGCGGGGGATTTGTAAGTATTTCAGCCACCTATACCCAGGGGAATACAGTGTAAATTGAGGGGCGGGAGAGTCGATCTCAGATCGATGAAATGTTATATAAACCTTGTAATGTTATTAATTGGTAATAGTGAAACTTACTGTCGTTTGCCAGCATTCTAACAGTAATGTTCGGATAGATGAGTGGAGAAAAAGTAGATTAAATGAAAATGATATACCCCAGTATATACATATTACATTGTACGACTTCAGGTACGAAGTACATTTTCTGATCCTTATTGAACATTTTTGGCAAAAATACTTATATCACCGCGTCCAAGGAACATAAGATACAGAATTTATTGCCTTTAGTACACAGGCTTTCCTCCGACCCATATTCCTGATTATTTGCATTCGTCAAAGCTATATTACCATTACTACATGGATATGTAACATTGTCTGAACAAAATACTTAGCCATAAGCAACATTAATAAAACATATATACAGTTTAAATATCAAATTCAAACAGCTCGATTCTCCATTTTATGATGACTGATATAAGATATTCTGAATAGTGACATCGCAACCTTTGAATCATTTGTGAGGCTAATGGGTATAACAGAGATTAGAAAACTGAGAAAAATAGCCAAGTACATGTTAAAGACATGTACAGCTAATCGTGGACAAGGGGATTATTACATCTTTTACATGTATTATTTTTCTCACTTTGTCGGGTACTCTGCTTGACACGAGAAAGAACTAATATCCGCTGTAATAACCAGATAATGAAGTTTTAAAAGTAGATGACGTGTATCAGTGAAGTCCTAGTAAGTCCTTATCAGTATATTATCTGGCAACGTGACGACTGCTGTTTTGGAGACAATGCAAACCTGAAATTAATGCCCCACCTTTCTGGAAAGGTAGGGATTGTTGGATGTAAGACACGTTAAATAAAGCGTACAAACATGGGTCCTATATCGATCGATCTATAGATATATCTGTTGTTTGAACATCCTTTGCCACAATATTTTTAGATAACCATTACAGACCACAAATTAAACGGCTAAACTGGCATGGCAGACTTTATTAACTACAACAAGACCTGGCAAAAGGACCGTCTGGCTATCCACACACGTTGGTGCATACGAACAGCGTACGAAGTCGATAATTTCTATTGAATACGGCTCTCAGCAGAACTAGAGCAGTTGGATCCAATACGCCCTAGCATGTTTTCCAACTGCTTTGTGTTAATGAGAAATGTCGAAAATCAATTGTGCATGTTTGGTCTCGCATATCACAAGGGTTATTCATTAACAGGAAAATGTCAAAGAGAGAGAGAGAGAGAGAGAGAGAGAGAGAGAGAGAGAGTTGAAAAAACTACCTCAAACAGGCAATCATGCTGTGTTTTAGTTTTCATTACAAGTCTTGTTTATTTGTTTTTCATGAAGACAACTGAAACACACGCCAAACATTACACAACATGATGTTACAAAACATGATGCACAACTCATATAGGGTAGAGACAAGAGACTTTAAGCACGGAATGAACATTCCAGATATGTAATGTAAGAAACACACACGATAATCAAAGGCATAGTAAGACTACACCAAGGCAAGATGCAAAGATGCATGCATTATGAGATGGAATCCATTTCATTGTGACTCTCTCAGACAAAGGTTGGCACAAAAGATGATCTGCCACTTTGTCACAGGTTCTCCGAAGAAATGCATGTTCATGTATATATTATCTAAAGTTCACCAGATTTTCTAAGCTTTCCCTCATTCCATTTTCAGAAAAGAGAGAGATAAGACGTGTTGAGTTGGCGTTGCCTTCTCTTTACACATAGGCCTATTTGAAAAGGACAGCATATTGTCTGGTTTCCCGTGTTCAGCGTTTAAAGGACTTCTTCCCTATCCTGTGTTAAATTTGAATCACCAAGCCCTGTTTGGTTGCGACTTTCTCACCTACGTTCGTTCCCAGCTTTCCCTCACATCCCCCTTCACATACACGCCATTACGACCTTTGACGGGTATCGCATTCTTTTAGCGACATGCCAAGTCAATTACAGTCGATAACATTCATAATGTCAATGTAAATGCACTGGAAAGACAGTCAGAATTATAATAAAATCGATCACTTTCCCATCCTGACAGTTTAATCAAAACAAAGATATTCATAAAAAATGTACAAGTTTCCTCGTTACCAAGAGGCATTTTCCTGGGGTCTCCATCCGACAACGCTCGGCAGCTTCAAATAATCAGGACTTATTTTTCACAACAGTTTCTCTCTAGAAATGCCAAAACAATTCAAGACATTTATATTACATTATGAGTCCATTTCAAATCGCTTGAACATGTGCTTTCAACTCTCCGAGGAACCATCCTCTATCTGATCCGCTCCCATACATTGACAATAAAACACGAAAGGCGCCGGTCTCGCCGATATTTCATTTAAGCGAAGTGGTGTTTATGGGAAATCACGAATGGAGAAGGACTCTGTTATAAAACCATGCACAATGAGAATATGAATCTTTAATGTTCACAATTTTTCTAAAAAAGGAAAAGAATGGTAAACGTATGAATATAATAACGCAAATAATGATGCAGTAATAAATTATTAATGCAAAAAGGAATGCATTTTCAATATATATTTTTTTAATTTTCAGCACTGCGTTTTCCGTTTCCTATAACCAAAAATAAGTGCCGCTGCTAGAATTTAATATAGCTCCTTGAAAGACATTGTGAAGTCCAATTACACTAAACCACACTAATGAACTACAGCCTAATGGACAAATTAATGTTTCGTTCCCATACAATACAAGCCAAAATAATGAACGCCAAATTAATGATCCAACTTATGTTTCGTTTCATATTACATGTTGACGTCTAAATAGATTGTATCAATACGTATGATGTTTGTGAAAAAAATATGCTGCACGTCGGGCTGATATATGAAAGACTGGTTTGCATAACTATCCTGGGATTTGAAATTTTCAATTAAGGTTAAAAATAAGATAAGTTTGAGTACAAAGAATATTATCAGGTTTTTGACATACAAACTCCGTGGTAAATGAATCCCTTGAGAATATCAAGCAGAAAAATGAGAATAAATGTAGGAAGATGCCCTATAAATGCGGTAAAAATGAAAACGTGACAGTCTGGACGAGGTGACAGTTTTCAACCACATGCTGCCTTGCTATCTTGTCTGCAAATAGGCTGTGGCTAGCATGATGTGATATTCTATTGAAACTGAACAATACGTTTCCGCTTTTCTGCGATAAAACTCAATCTTGCGATTCTTATTAGTGCACTGAATGAGATCGCGTTTATCATTATTATTGCAGTGGAAGATGAGAATTTCTGCAGTTACCGCGACAGTCTTTGCAGAAAATTGCGGCTGACGTTTTCAGAGTGTCATTTAATCAAGGAAAGCTACATGATGGAATTGGACTAAAAATGATGAATGTGATCAGAGCTGAAAAAGGCCAATTTCATTTATATGTAAATTGCGCATGGGGAGTATTTTTAATGTTATATCCTATCGTTTAGCATACTGATGTGAATAGAATGAAAAATGTCTTTTATTTTAGTTGCTTCTCACTCTTTTCTATCTGTCTGTCTGTCTGTCCGTCTGTCTGTCCCCATCATGCTACTGATTTACTTAACGTTTGATTCTTTGGTCTTATTTCAGTTTATCCTCACTGGAATTCTTGGTTTCGCCTGCGCGAAGAAGAAATCCGCATACTTGGTAAGATTACGTAAAGTACATGGTGTACACGCAAACGCTACTGAATGTCAGTGTTTATTTTTAAAGAGAAATATCATGTTTAGTTCTGATGATATCGTTATGATAATGGTATTATGCGTCCGCTGACTAAAACTAACGTCTACACAGGGTAGTGTAAAACACCTTTCAGCTAAGTTGGGGAATGAAAGTGCTACGTAAAACTTTTAAATCCTTTGACATTTTAGATTAAAGTACGCCTTTTGCGTATATAAATCTTATGTTATGTATTTGATTTATCAGAATATCTGTCGTGCAGTTAAATAATTTTCCATGTCTCTTTTTTTGTGTGTAATACTTAATCTGATAGGGTCTTATTACGCCTACGACATGTTTCAGCAGTTAAGTTAGTCTTGCAATGGACTCCCTCACTAAAGTTAATTTACAACTGTCAATCAAATTGCGATAATATAACTCTTTTTTTCTTTTTTTGTTGATAAAATATCTGTATTTCAGTATAAAGCTTGATGAGATAGAGAGGGAAATTAAAATGAATGAGGAAAGCGATACATGTTACTTACGCAAAGCAAAATATTTGTTAAGGCATTAAATCAAATACTTCAAAAAGAATTATCTTGATTTTCAGATCCTGTGTTTTACTGCCTTTTCTGTGGTCTCCTTGGTGACGGCAGTGGTCAGTATACAACTACTTCGTCTCGGACTGATTAATCACACCAACGATGGGAATACCTTTCAAAAGGAAAAGAAAGACTTCTTAATTATCGTTGCCTTGGCAACAGCCGGAACCGAGTGCCTCATATGTATCATATCGTCCTTTGTTAGTTGTCGGGTGGCCAGAGCAGCTAAGAAAGAACTTTTCAAAAAGAGAGAGGGAACATTCAGCGTACAGGTACTGGGAGAGAAAGACATTGTTGTCGCCTTCACTAAAACTTCCAGTGGAAGTGACGAACGAGACAGGTGTACGTCGGAAACTGAATGACCGACTTGTTCAATGTTGTAAAACCTTCAAAATTTATAGAATTGTTCTTGGACTGACATTCCAGTTTTTGCAAAAGTGTCTGTCGTATTGTAATGTAGCCTATATAGGAAGATATGAAGAGCATTTAGCAATAACGCTATACTCCAAAAACGTGCAGGTGTTACAGCCAAGAATCCAGTCCATGTGTGCGTCTATTCTAGATAGTGTTAGCAAAAGTCTTCCAGTGTTCGTGTTGTGGTCTCAATCCTGTCCGCAAACTGACGTATCATGTAAGTTGCTTTTTTGTCACTTATTCTCTTCTGCACAATATAGCTGTATATTTGTCGCCACCCCGATTAATCAATTTCAGCAATAGTTATTATTTTATTTTTTTTTTACTTATTTATGCTTTCGTGAAGCTTCTGGTGTTCTTTGTTGACCTTTGTTGTCACATCCGTGTGTCTTTTCATATTCCAAAATAAAAATAAAAAAATAATAATTACAATAAAGGAAGCAGTCCATTTTGAAATATGTCTAAACACCTCAATTGCCAGTATATTGTTGTTTGTTATAAACGATTGTAATGCTTTATTCCCGTGTTTCTCCAGGACATATGTGTGAATGAAGACCAGTTTATGAGCAACGCGGATATGGGAGAACTGAACCCTGCTATGGAGGGTAATGGAATTCTTGAGAGAGAATGCCAGCCGTCTGAATGTGGAAACATGTGGACGACATACTTTGGACAGGTGACGCCCACTATGATTGACGTCCAAGGTAAAGATAGTCACCCTAGTCACCTTAAAATTGACACCCCACACACACTTTCTGATGTACGCCTTCAGCCCCCATCTGGTTTACCTGACAAACCAGGCGACAGAATTGTCTCAGAGGAGTTACGAAATCACGGAGGTAGCATACGTGGGAATGAGAATACCATGAATACTTCATTATGTGGTGACGAAAAGGAAGCTTCAAATTCTGTTTCAAAGTATCGTCACGACATGGGATCGATAGGTATGGAGAACGACAACACGCGGACTGCGCTAGCTAACTCGGTTGAAGCAAGTGCCGAATCGCTTGAAGATGTTTTATTTTCTTTGTCCGAAGACAAATCGATTGTGTCCCCATCCCCATCCCCAGACATTGTGATTAACGGAGCAGATGGAAAGACACAAATAAAAGTATCTTTTACTGAAATGTCACTGCAATCTGGATACATCGCTCAAAGTAGAAGGCAAAGATCCTTCCAAACCAACTTTCACAAAAGAAAACACGAAGTTAAGGATGAAAAGAGAAAACCAACGAGTCTAAAAGACATAAATAAAATTAAAGATGAAAATCATTGTGCCGTAAACGATAATCATATTTCTGGGGAAAGAAAAAAGCGAAAGTTACCTGTCGTCTCTACGCCCAACGGTGAGAGTGCGTTGGCGTCAAGTGAAGCATCTTCAACGACAGCTAAAAAACGATCAAGCGCTGAAGTAAATATTGCTGAGGATCAAAGTACAGAGCACATGACTTCTAATTTCGCACAAATAAATCAACCCAAAACTTACAAGAACGCCGATTCCAAGCGCCAGACGATTCCTGCTAGTGATTTGTCTGTTTCCAAGAGAAACTCTCGTTACATTTTTACTCAGGTCCAAGATGAAGGTGAATATCCAAAACCCAAGTCAAATATCAACAGGTTGTCCGGCAGTAAGAGCTCTCATGGGGCGAAGGAGAGACGCTCGACCCAATCGACAGAAACCAAGGTCGCATCGAGACACATGGGCATGATTTCAATACCGAACCCTTCTATTAAAAAGCATAGACGTCACTCTCTTCACACAGCCCTCGACCCTATCGTCGAGAACCCGGCTGACATGAACGAGCCGAGTATGCCGTCCATACGGAGCAGCCCGAACCTGACGGAGGCAATAACAGATATCAGCGTCAATGTCCCACCAACTGCATGGAGCGACATTCCTGACGTAAATAAAGAACAAAATGTATCGCCTGGTGACGCTAAAAACCGTTTGATTGACAGACCTGGGCGTTCACCCCGAGTTTTCTCCCAAGAGTTTTCGTGTGTTGTTCACGAACCCCCGTATGTGGAAGATAACGGCGCACATTCTCAAAACTATGTGACTAGTTGGCACTGAATTGGAGAAAATGTTATACATTTTATTAAGATTGGACAGCAGCCCAAAAATGAACAACCTCGTACAATGCATGCTGCAAAAAAATATCGGACGATTATTAAAAAATATCATTTAGGTATAATTAAACTTGTTGGGGTGTTTTACATCTTTGCTATTCGGTATAGCATAGTAAACAGTTACAACAACGTACGTGTGCATTTTGTTTTATTACCAAGAAAAGGAAATGCATTGGATGAACCTTCTAGTTGTATTTTCTCAAAAAACCCTCCATTTTAATTAACAAAATCGCACATTTGCCCCTGACCCCCACCTGTTACACAAATCCCAGCCCTATAAAGTATTGGCCTTTATTTTGCCTCCAGGGTCACTCCTTTCTCGGCCAGGGCTGCCAGCATATAGTGACCAGTAAATATTGCACTATATCCTGGGAGTTATGAATACGACATCCTCCGTGATCAATTCTGACAACCAGTTCAAAACATCGCGACCTTTATCTTGAGCTAGACAAAATTGATATAAATTGCTACACCAGAGTGAGCGACTGGGCTTTATTTTGAGGAAATAAGATTTTTGAAATAAATAAATAAATAAATAAATAAATAAATGGATAAATGAAAAATTTAAACAATAAATGGCTTGACCCTATATACAGGGAGTTTATCTCAGAATTGCTATTAAAATCATATTTATATTTAAAGCTACATGAATCTTGTAAAAAATAATGACCACTTTAATTTGGTAAGTGTAATATTTATGCAGTAAATTTAAATGAAATTGCATTAAATAATGGTAAATACCACCTGGAAAATCAAAGTTTAAAGTTTGGTAAATCTTGTTTTAATGATTTAACAGGTAAATGTTAAAATTAGTTCACAATGTATAACAAGTCAGCAAAGCTGTCAAATGTACAGACATAAAGTATATAATGATTATGACAGTGCAAAAAATAATAGTGCATAATGCTTGAAGGAATAATCATAACCAATTTTCAGTAATGTACATCTGCTTATGTGAAAATTAAAAAAAAAAAAAAAATGTAACTAGCACAGGGCTTCAGGCCAAATGGGAGTTTTAGGTCAAACCTTGAAAATGCTAATATATGTGAAAACTGAGAATTTCACTAAAAATTGAAAATTAAAAAAAAAAAAAAAAAAAAAAAAAAAAAAAAAAAGTTTGAAAAGCAACTTCAATAATATGGTCTTACGAAGTTGCTTTTCAAACTAAACCTATATGTGCATGTTGTGAACCACTCTGAGATTTGTAATTAATGGTGATAATAACAGTTATGCATTTATTGCGCAGTGCACAAAATTGGTTTTCTGTTAATTTTGATGGAATATTACATTACAGTCTATTGCATAACCACAAGCACTTTTAAATAATGTGATACTGTCAATGTGGGCATTCATAATACATTATTGACATAGTGAATCGGGCCAACGGGAGTTCAAAGTTACACCTTGAACATGCCAATTTGTGAAAAATGAAAAATTCACAAACAACTCCATAACATGTACACAAAAAAAGGAAAATTTTAATTGCTCATTCAAATAAAGCAATGCTTTATTAATATGATCTACATTTAGTTATTTTCACCTCATAATGGCACAATGCAATCAAGCACTATTCATTAAAGATATCAATTATTTTAGAAATTAACACACCACTTTACTATTTAAATTTTCTATGCATTTTTTCTTCTGCCTGATCCAATAATTTTTCTAACACAACAATTCTGAGAAAATACTTTCAGGTCAGATCAAGTAATTATTTAACATGAGACAATAGAAACAGACCTACAATTACAAAAACATTCACAAACAGCCCACTATCTTCATGATCAAAACAGTGACTGCCACAGAGACAAGAAGTCAGTTTTGCAAAGAGACGTCTTTTTAATAAGATGTGCATGTTTTAACATCCTCTGAAGAAAAAAAAAAACACATCTGTCCAGCTGCATGAAAAAATATCCCTTATCAAATACATAAGATGACAGTTCATTTAATTAAAAAAAGAATACCATTCCACTATACATCTGACTTAGCTATAATTGCACTTGATGGATTAACTTTTGTATATGTATTGATAGTTCCTTCACAGTATTACAGATAGATACTCAATACATGCTCATTACTCGTTCTCATTTGAATATCATTCTGAGGTCTTTAATCTAAGTCATGCTGGTTTTAATTTCCACAAAGGATTAAGCTTTCCTTCTAGACATCATAAGGTTCTCATACTTAGAATTAGCTGCTGCAGTCTGTAAACTGCTGAAACTTGGGCATCAAATTCAGAAGAAGACGTAGTGGGTGAGAAACAATCAATCCTTGCTGCATGGCTGATTACCTCTTGCGCTTGGCAGTTTGTAAATTGGGTGCTGAGACTTTCACTTTCCCAGGCATGTTTCGAGAAAGATCATTATCCTGAAAAAAAAATACATACAAAGCTTCAGTCATCGATTGCTGTAAATCAAACCAGCAAAACCAGAAATCCAAAAACTGTATTCAAAAATATGCGACATCTTTGACAGAATGTGCTATCTACCAGGGTACTTAATGAAGCTCTGAAATTGCCAATTTATGAAACATGAAATGCTGATCTCCCTTGGATCAATTCTACTGCTTCCCTTAATCTATAGCTATAAGATGGAACCAGCTTGCTGCACCAATAGAAATACTAAATTAAGATCTAATCCTTAATGTATCGAGGCAACAAATTAAATCTCTTTTGACATTTCAGGACAAAGGACATCTGAGAATCTATTAAACTAGATAACTGGGAAAAGATTTAGTTTGCATTATATTGAACAGCAGGGCTGATGTACCGATAATGCAATCTAGGGAGCATTCATAATTCTCTCCTTGGAAAGCACACATCTACCTACTTACAACCTTGTCAACATAGAGAAAATGGTGCAATTCTCAGCGTTATTGATTTTGGATCTGGTGCTCTAGCGACATGTATTCAGCAATATAATTAAACTTGAGCAAGATGTACACAAAGCTGCCACATTGGCTTTATATCCAACTAAATCAGACCTTTGTTCTGATTCAATAAACATGAGAACTACATTAAGGGACTGTAAGATATTTTATGTACGGTAATAGATCAGAACACAGACTTCAATATGACATTTTCAATCTGCCTGTCACATCCAAGTCCAATAAGTATCAACAGAGGCAGCCACATCACTACATAAATCAATATATAAATCGATGAGTTTTGCTTAAACTAAAAGCCATATAAGAGATTACATAAATCAAAGCATAACTGCTGAATATGAAGGTCATGTATGTGTTAAGGCCATTGTCTTCATTCTAGATATACTGATTGAACTGACAAAGCTAGATTAAGGCGGTGTTACACAGGCCCAAAGGAACCAATTTCCGTGAAATTAATCCTCAGAATATGACAGGAAACACATTGTATCTGATAAAACTGTTAATGTGGCATTAACTATGGGAGAATGTGAGAGTCTTCAAACTTGGCAGTTTCCTGCATTGTGAAAATGATTATGAACACACTCACACATGGTCAACTCCCAATATTGCAGAATGGATAAGAACCAAGAAAATTAGAGAATATGGATTTCAAACTAGCCCTTTTTTAGTAACATAAATCTTACATTGACGTCAAACTGGATACATGATCATAATTATAAGATAATGATATTTCTTAGGACATCCTCCTTTTATTTGTTCAAAGAATAAGGAAAATGAAGGTGCATGCATCTCTGGCATTTTCAAAATTAACTAGAGCTATCTATAAATACCAATCAAATAAGATTTCTTTTTTTCTAGTAGTCAAAAAATCTCACTGCAAAGTCTGGGGAACTATTTCTTTCAATAAAACAACTAGATATGTAAAAAAATTCACTTACATTTTACAAGGTATATATGTCAGCTTTCTCTCTCTCTTTCTGTGTGTGTGTGTGTGTGTGTGTGTGTGTGTGTGCATGCTTGTGTGCATGTGCATGCAATCTTGTGAGTGAATATGAGCACGCAAATTGGTGTCAGCTTCCCTCTTAGTTTGAAAAAAGAGGAGCATAACAAAAGTGAACAAAATGCACAAAATCCATGTTGGCCTTACCTTGACTACTCTCAATAGTTCTCTTTCTCTGGGTGTTGCTGTTTTCTCATGAAGAAACATATTCAGTGCAGTCTGGACAGCTGCAAAACATGAAACAATTTAGACAGTTATCTTTCATGTTAAGTTCCTCAACAAAGATAAAAACATTAACATTGCAGATGTAACTTTCTTGCTAAGATATTTAAAAAGACTTAATCTTTCTACATGGGCAGTCAAAACAAAATCTTATTTTTCAAAGAAATGAGACAGCATACCTTTTCCTCTTTTTTGTGTGCCTGGTGTCAACTTTACTTTATATCTAAAAAAATGAGAAAAATAATAACCTGCAAAAACCTTAAAACCTTTAAAATACATTATGTCCACAGAAGGGTTCAAATGAGCACATAATTATTCCTGACAACATTTTGAAAGTGATTTTTTAACTAAAAAACTTTCAATGTTTTAAAGGAAGTTCAGAAACCATGCAATGTATTTATCGAGAGGATAATATGGGACTTAGGTTGATTTTCACTGTGAAAGTCAGAATCCATCTTACTTGTAGTTGACTATGGCAGTGTAAGGAGCACACACAGGGATGGCATAGAGTAGCTCGTCCTCTACCACAGGGCATCCAGTTAAGGTGTCTATAGCGCTCACATCCTACAGAACCAATTATGAGATATAACAGTGTAAATTCAATATCAACTTACATCTATGTAAATAAACTGACATTTTCTTTTTCCAAATTAATACAGATGCTGTTGCGGATAATGGAAGAAAAGGCACAATATGCAATATAACAAAATGTCTCTAAGAAATCATTTATAATTGTTTGAAATATGACGCAATAATAAAGGCAACTATACATGAAAATACATATGCTGCAGAGTATCACATACCTCTAATATCTGTACATTTTCCTCTTCAAGCACAGCTTTTTCTTCAGCAGTAACCTAAAATTAACCAAACACATAATAAACTAGAGGATAACCCAAGAATGCAGACATACACCAAAGGGCCACAAAAAGTCTTGTAAAATTATAAGGAAACTAGGATTCAGTAAAAATTGTAAACCTGTGGAAAACATTTTGAGGTATCTTGTCTATTAACCAACTCCAATGAAAAAACAACACCCAATATTAGCAGAGGTGATTAATGCATGTTAAACTCTACAAAATGAAAAGATGTACAATATCTGTCTACCTGCTCCTCTTCTTCTAAGGCCTTATGGTGGCGTTTGGCTTGGTCCATATCTACATCCAAGAGAAAAGAGAAAAATAAAAATCTATAATCAAAGACAGAATTTTATGTGAAATAAATAATATATAACATGTGTATAGTTCCATGAATATTTCTTAAAATGAAAATGCAATAAACTTAATTACTTCTTTAAGATTTGAAATTCATAACAAATCATATTTAATAGTAAAATGTATCTGTTCTATATGCCCAATGTCAGACTCATCTTTATTTGAGGTAGAGGTATCGAATTAACCAAAAAGTAACTTAATCAACAATGTAGTTTTCTTTTTTTATCTATTTTTCTTTCTAATTGCCCTTTTCTTGAGTTGGTTCAGTGGTTGTGCCAGTCATGTCTAAGGAAGCTTTACAAGTAAAGCTTTCTGAGGTCCCACCTTGTGTGGCCTGGGGGTCTCCCTGAGGCACCTCTTGGTGCTGGTGTTGCTGCTTTATCACTGGCTGCTGCTTCTGGAGCTGTCTTTGTTTCTGTTTGTTCATCTGATGCTGGTGGCCACCTTTCTTGTCTTTTTTCTTCTCTTCCTTGGGTTCCCCTGCAGACTAGTGGGGAAAAGGAGATCAGTGAAATAAAACAAACATCCCAAACCAATTCTGTTTAACCTTTGGTAAATAAAATAACATACCTTGAGATGGGAAGCATTCCTTTAATAAAAAAAAAGAAGATATTGCACATTGAATAAATAATAAATACTTTTTGATTTGATTTGAAAAAACTATGACCAAGACACCATATAACGTAATACTTTTCAATTTTGATATCATAGGAGTTAACTCTCTACTCACTGCTAATAATTCCATTCTTAGTCTCCTTTCCTCCTCATCTTGGTCTTTATACTTTTCCTTGATTTTCTTCATTTTGGCCTGGATATGATCATAGTTTATTTACAATTTATTAAAAAAATATTTTTTCCAAAACTTTCTAACAAACACATGTGACAAACATCAAACAAAGTAATAAAAGAAATGTAATGTTAAAAATAATGTCTCACTTGAACAAAACACATTTTAATAACATACTTTTTGCCCTCGTTTAGGCTGTGGGCGCTCTTCTTCTGCTTGCTGTTGCTTTTGTTGTTTATGTCGTTGCTTCTACAATTACAATAAAAGATGAGGCACAAATAAGGAAACAATTGATTAAAAAGGCATTTAAGGCATGAAATAATTTGGCAGCATAAAGTTCCTTTTTCATCTTAGAAAGAAGTGAATTTATCAACTAAAAGCTTTATAATTGCAATCATTTAGAGAATTGAAGAAAAAAATAACTGAATACATGTTTTTTTCTCAGTTAACAAGTTGAATTAAACTTACTTCTGACTTCAGAAGGTCATCCATTTCTGCTATTAACCTGTCAGATTCATCTTCCACTGGTGCTTCAGAGGTCTGCTTGGATTTTTTCTTCAATTCTCTAAAAAATAAAACAAGTGGAATGATAAAAATGGAGCAAGTCACTGCTGCATAAACAATTAAACAAGTCATTACCTTTTAAAAAGAATTATATGAGGTAAACACCTAACAGTAATACAATTTAAATCAATTTATCTACCTTCTTTGTTTGGCTGTTAATCTAGAAGATCCCTTCCTCTCCACCTACAAATAAAAAAATTCAAGAATTGCTTTACTTTTTGGGTAGGATAAATTTTGCCAACATCCACTTTATTCAACCAATCTATACTTTCAAGACACTGAATACATTGTCAAACAAATCAGATTAAGTAGTAAAATGTACCTGCTCTATATGCCCAATGTCAGACTCATCTTTATCTGAGGTTGAGCTGCCTCTGCCCTGAGTGGACTGGAACCTGGAGAACAATGTATGAATATTACGCATACAAATCATTCAAAGGTTTTATCAATGTCTTTAAAACAGTTAACAACAACAACAAATCTTTTGAGGCTCATTCAAATTATTTCATGTTTGTCTTTACCCTAGATTGGTTGACAACTTCTTGTTTGGTTAAAGTATGTCTCATGTAAAACTGTAAAACAGGCGTTCAGAATATGGCATAAATCCATGTTGAACAAGAAAACATGCTTAAAAGAAAGAAACACAGTGATCTACTGACTACCACAAAGTCATGTGCTGAGTATGCAAGTTAAACTAAACGGGTTTTATCAATACTATAAAACAATGCAACATGCCTCAGTCTTGAATGTTTGAAGCAGTGCCATGTATGTAAAGGCTTTCATTATAGATTAGTATAGATAGTCACTATTGTACTTTATTATTATTATTATGAGGTCAAAGCCATAAAAATGTGCAAGAACCAATAATTATTATCATAAATCCATACTAACATTTCGCCTCTGATATGTTTTAAATCTATCTGTGTGTCAGGATAGGCACTCTCCTCCTCACTGCTGCTACTACTACTACTTTCCTGCCCTACAGTTTCGGGGGCNTTTTTTTCTTTTTTTTTTTTGGAGAACGGACGAAAATCGGTGCGCGCGCAGGATGTCATCCATAAAATTAAAAAAGTGTGGCCTAATAAAGAGGCAACTATACATGAAAATACATGTGCTGCAGAGTATCACATACCTCTAATATCTGTACATTTTCCTCTTCAAGCACAGCTTTTTCTTCAGCAGTAACCTAAAATTAACCAAACACATAATAAACTAGAGGATAACCCAAGAATGCAGACATACACCAAAGAAAAAGGGCCACAAAAAGTCTTGTAAAATTATAAGGAAACTAGGATTAAGTAAAAATTGTAAACCTGTGGAAAACATTTTGAGGTATCTTGTCTATTAACCAACTCCAATGAAAAAACCAACACCCAATATTTGTAGAAGTGACTAATGTATGTTAAACTCTACAAAATGAAAAGATGTACAATATCTGTCTACCTGCTCCTCTTCCTCTAAGGCCTTATGGTGGCGTTTGGCTTGGTCCATATCTACATCCAAGAGAAAAGAGAAAAATAAAAATCTATAATCAAAGACAGAATTTTATGTGAAATGAATAATATATAACATGTGTATAGTTCCATGAATATTTCTTAAAATTGAAATGCAATAAATTTAATTACTTCTATCAGATTTGAAATTCATACCAAATCATATTTACTAGTAAAATGTATCTGTTCTATATGCCCAATGTCAGACTCATCTTTATTTGAGGTTGAGGTATCGAATTAACCAAAAAGTAACTTAATCAACAATGTAGTTTTCTTTTTTTATCTATTTTTCTTTCTAACTGCACTTTTCTCTCCTTGGTTCAGTGGTTGTACCAGTCATGTCTAAGGAAGCTTTACAAGCAAAGCTTTCTGAGGTCCCACCTTGTGTGGACTGGGGGTCTCCCTGAGGCACCTCTTGGTGCTGGTGTTGCTGCTTTATCACTGGCTGCTGCTTCTGGAGCTGTCTTTGTTTCTGTTTGTTCATCTGATGCTGGTGGCCACCTTTCTTGTCTTTTTTCTTCTCTTCCTTGGGTTCCCCTGCAGACTAGGGGGGGAAAGGAGATCAGGGAAATAAAAACAAACATCGCAAACCAATTCTATTTAACCTTTGATAAATAAAATAACATACCTTGGGATGGGAAGCATTCCTTAAATAAAAAAGAAGATATTGCACATTGAATAAATAATAAATACTGGGATTTGAAAAAACTATGACCAAGACACCATATTACGTAATTTTCAATTTTGATATCATAGGAGTTAACTCTCTACTCACTGCTAGTAATTCCATTCTTAGTCTCCTTTCCTCCTCATCTTGGTCTTTATACTTTTCCTTGATTTTCTTCATTTTGGCCTGGATATGATCATAGTTTATTAACAATTTATTAAAAAATATTTTTTCCAAAATTTTCTAACAAACACATGTGACAAACATCAAACAAAGTAATAAAAGAAATGTAATGTTAAAAATAATGTCTCACTTGAACAAAACACATTTCAATAACATACTTTTTGCCCTCGTTTAGGCTGTGGGCGCTCTTCTTCTGCTTGCTGTTGCTTTTGTTGTTTATGTCGTTGCTTCTACAATTACAATAAAAGATGAGGTACAAATAAGGAAACAATTGATTAAAAAGGCATTTAAGGCATGAAATAATTTGGCAGCATAAAGTTCCTTTTTCATCTTAGAAAGAAGTGAATTTATCAACTAAAAGCTTTATAATTGCAATCATTCAGAGAATTGAAGAAAAAAAATCACTGAATACATGTTTTCTTTTCAGTTATCAAGTTGAATTAAACTTACTTCTGACTTTAGAAGGTCATCCATTTCTGCTATTAACCTGTCAGATTCATCTTCCACTGGTGCTTCAGAGGTCTGCTTGGATTTTTTCTTCAATTCTCTAAAAAATAAAACAAGTGAAATGATAAAAATGGAGCAAGTCACTGCTGCATAAACAATTAAACAAGTCATTACCTTTTAAAAAGAATTATATGAGGTAAACACCTAACAGTAATACAATTTAAATCAATTTATCTACCTTCTTTGTTTGGCTGTTAATCTAGAAGATCCCTTCCTCTCCACCTACAAATAAAAAAATTCAAGAATTGCTTTACTTTTTGGGTAGGATAAATTTTGCCAACATCCACTTTATTCAACCAATCTATACTTTCAAGACACTGAATACATTGTCAAACAAATTAGATTCAGTAGTAAAATGTACCTGCTCTATATGCCCAATGTCAGACTCATCTTTATCTGAGGTTGAGCTGCCTCTGCCCTGAGTGGACTGGAACCTGGAGAACAATGTATGAATATTAAGCATACAAATCATTCAAAGGTTTTATCAATATCTTTAAAACAGTTAACAACAACAACAAATCTTTTGAGGCTCATTCAAATTATTTCATGTTTATCGTTACCCTAGATTGGTTGACAACTTCTTGTTTGGTTAAAGTATGTCTCATGTAAAACTGTAAAACCGGCGTTCAGAATATGGCATAAATCCATGTTGAACAAGAAAACATGTTTAAAAGAAAGAAACACAGTGATCTACTGACTACCACAAAGTCATGTGTTGAGTATGCAAGTTAAACTAAACAGGTTTTATCAATACTATAAAACAATGCAACATGCCTCAGTCTTGAATGTTTGAAGCAGTGCCATGTATGTAAAGGCTTTCATTATAGAATAGCATAGATAGTCACTATTGTACTTTATTATTATTATTAGGTCAAAGCCATAAAAATGTGCAAGAACCAATAATTATAATTATCATAAATCCATACTAACATTTCGCCTCTGATATGTTTTAAATCTATCTGTGTGTCAGGATAGGCACTCTCCTCCTCACTGCTGCTACTACTACTACTTTCCTGCCCTAAAGTCTCCGGGGCAACTCCCTCTGCTTTAAAATTTACCCCATCTGGACTGTTCAGTGCAGGTGCCTCCTTGTCTTGAGAGTCCTCTGATTTCTTTTGGACCCCAGAGTCACCCTGTTTTTTTGTCCCTAGTAAAGCCAGTTTCTCACTGCTGGAGTAACAGTCAGTAGTACTAGAGTAACACTCTGTGGTGTCCGATTCCATCATTTCACTGTCACTGCCATTGTTTAGAGATGCAGTGTCACCGTCAATTGACACCATTGAGTCTGTCATTGATGCCGTGTCCTCGTCGTCTGCACCGTGAGCCTTCCTCTCCCCCTGGTGGCGATACACAGAACCTTCCTCCAACTGTGGTAGGATATAAAATGTATCTTTTTGTCACTTTTTCCCAATTTTATTGATTCAAGATATTAAATTTTGTAAAAAAAATCTCAAATTTCTATCCCTTTAAGAATATTATTTCATATTCTCTTCTGACTATTGTTGGATAAATTGTTGCTGCATGGTTGTGGTAGAAATGTCTCAAATTTCTATGTGTTTAATATATATATATATATAATTAAAATAAAATCAAAATTCAACATATTAAATCTAATTTCATATTCTTCAAGGTAATTTTTCTTGGACCATCTTAACCACATTTGCTAAATTTTCATGAGCACAGAACATCATTTCATAACAGTAACTCACCTTGAAGAGAAACCCAAACCCATATATTAAATAACATGGAGGCACATAGTTCTTCTTTCCTGCAATTAAAACATTACCGGAATCAGTGAAGGTGATTATATTCAAAGCACATATTTTCCTTTCTATCTCAACTAATTGTAATACATACACTTTGGTAATTTCAAAATTGTGATAAAATACTCTAACTTATATACTTTGTGTAGGCGCCACATAAAATAATGAAAGAGAGCTGGGATGTTTACCTCTGATCATAAAGCTCCCGGTGGTCAGGTACTCTCCTGTGGGGGCAGTTTTGGACACCTGGTCATGGTAGACCCACCATGCACTAGTGACCACCTTGGCATCCCAGGCAGCACTATTACAAACTGCCATTGTACCAGCCTCGTTCAGTGTCTTAGGGGG